CTCCTTTCCGCAGCTCGAGCTATGAATCGACTTAGACCTGCAATTCGACCTGTCAGTACTTGCACTTCTCTAACGCTCTTTGGCGGAGCCATGTCGAGTATGGCTTGCACTTTGTCCTTATTTACTTCGATGCCTCTTTCAGTTACGACATAGCCTAGGAATCGTCCTGCCCTTACTCCAAAGGCACACTTACTCGGGTTTAGTTTCATTCCAAATGTTCTTAATGTCGTAAACGTTTCCCTCAAATCCTCCACATGCGAGATCGAGGACCTACTTTTCACCAAGATATCGTCCACATAAACTTCCATATTTCGTCCGATCTGTGATTTGAACATTCGATCCATCAACCTCTGATATGTTGCCCCCGCATTTTTAAGCCCAAAAGGCATGACGACATAGCAATATGTCCCCTTGCTCGTTACGAAACTAACTTTGCTTTGATCCTTAGGAGCCAACGGAATTTGGTGATATCCCTAGAACGCGTCCATCATACTTAGCAATTGACAGCCAGCTGTGGAGTCGACCAGCTGGTCGATTCTCGGCAGGGGGTAGTGGTCTTTTGGGCAAGCTAAATTTAAGTCGCGAAAATCGATGCACATGCGCCACTTATTTAGCGCTTTTCTCACCATCAGTGTATTCGATATCCATTCGGGGAATTGAATTTCCTTGATATGTTTGGCCTTCAGCAACTTGTCCACCTCGACCTCGATTGCTTTATCGATCTCTGCCCCGTGACGCCTGAGACGCTGCTTCACAGGTTTCTTGAGGGGGTCGACATTAAGTTTATGCTCCATGACATCGGGGTTGATTCCCGTTAACTCTTCGGGTGAAAAAGCGAATATGTCCCTGAATTCTATCAACAGTCCCACCAACTGTCGACGCAACTCATCTTCCAATTCTCGCCCAATTTTAGTGGTTTGTTCCTCTTTTTCCCCGATTTGAATTTTTATTAATTCTCCATGTGGCTCGAGGTCACCCTCCCTTTGTCTTTTTTCGCTTGTCGTTAGCTTTTTCCCTTCTTTCACCTCCGTCCGTTGGTTTGTTCTTACTGCAATCTGATAACAGGTTCTTGACAGCCTCTGGTCTCCCCGACTTCATCTCCCACGGGGAATTTTAGTTTCATATGGTAGGTTGACACTACTGCTTGGAATGTGTTGAGCGCTGGCCTTCCCAGAATCACATTATAAGCTGACTCGACGTCGACTACGACAAATCGTACCACTTTCACTTTCCTTAGGTCGCCTTCCCCTAGGACGATAGCGAGCGTAGTCTCTCCTAGGGGTGCGACTTTCGAGCCGTTAAATCCAAAAAGTGAGGTGTGTAGGGGTGAGAGCTCGATGTCGAGTTCCATCCGCTTAAGACAATTGTAAAAAATCACGTTCACCGAGCTTCCTGTGTCGACAAAGATTCTTTGTACTTCATAGCCCGATATCTGAGTTGTGATCATTAGGGCATCGTTGTGTGGTCTGTCGACTTCTCCCATGTCTGCTGGTCCAAAATTCATTACCGGACCGTTTTCCTCGACCTGTTGCACCTCAATTTTTCCATGGTGTCCTCGAGCATAGGCTTTTCTGGCCCGATTTGAATCTCCATCAGTCGGACCTCCGAATATCATGTGAATTA